CCCCAAAACCCCAAAACCCCAAAACCCCAACTTTTTTTCTACAAAATTTGTGTTTAAAGATAATATTCGCAATCGAGAAAGCAGAGTTGAATAGGCATTGATTCAATCATGGATATTTATTCCTGCATAGATTTTGGTATCCTAATTTGTGAGCCTAGAGTCTCATCTTGATCAATAAGTTTGTAGAATTTATCACTTCCTTTTGGAGCAAATACCTCAACACTCTCATCAGCTACTGGTTGAGGTTAGACTTTGCTCTTTTTTGGGAACAGCACATATTTTTCCAAGTTCATGAAAGGAACTTCACAGATCAAAGTTACAGAGATGGCAAGGATAAATGATACTACGGGCATCTAATAACAAAGAATTATTGTGTAATCGAAGTTCGATAAGTGCTGAGGTTTTGATTATTGAGGAAATTGAATATTACAACACAGTGGATAATATATGTACCATATAATTTAGTCTAGCTAGGACTTTAAATATTTCTGCTTTCAAGAATGCTCTAATAACTCTCAATCTTCCGGCAAATGTTGGAGCAATGATGAGTCCGAGGCTGAATACTAATAAAAGTCTTGATAAAATCCAATACAATAATGTGGGAAAAGTTGGCCAACAGTTACCTCCATTAAAATCAATAACTTCAACTCAGTCTCTAGCATATGCAGCATTGGGAAACACATACAGAGCTGTGAGTCTTATTCCAAATCGACAAAACAAGAATGAAATTATCTGAGAGTTCTTCAATACATCCTAGCATTTATTAAATAAGGTATTTGACAGCTCCTTTTACTACTTATCTCTGCAAGAAAGTTCCAAGTAAGAAATTCCGAATAAGGCCCCAACGAAGTAAGCACCCATTCTGCTCTAAGGCTTACTGTAAAACACAGTCAGTAACGCTCTCTTTTTAGCAGATTTTCCACCAAGCCTAATATCCCAAGCAGCTGCCATAGCAAGGTTGTTTATCTTTGAAATTTGGATAGCTGAAAATACTTCACCAATACCTCAACCTATTTTAGTTGCAGTAAGAGGAGGACTAAGAATAAAGAACTGCATATTACACATCAAGTACCACATTCATCCAATTCAAGCTTCTCCCATCTTCCATGGGTGAAAGTTAGAAATCGGCAAAAAGTTCGACCATGCATTATCGTATAATGTTTTATTCATGAAACCTCAAGATTGTCTAAAAATGTTAGAATCATTCTAAACTTTAAAGAATTCTGTTAAAAATTAAGATTAGCAAAGAATTGTATCTCACAAAAAGAACTATGCTAAAAATGAAAGACTTATCTATACATTGGGTCTCTTCCCATGTATCTCATTACATACATTGCAAAGAACTGCACAGAAATGAGAGGGAAGATGAGTCTATGGTGTCTGTGAAAATATATCAGAATAGTATTTACTATCCCAATCATCTCTCCCTTTAAATGCATGGTTGATTTCAACCGAGCAAATGTCAAAAATCCAGAGAAAAAGAAGAAAGAATCAACCGCAAAAACTCCAGCAGATACCAGAGAAAACATATCACTCTCAAATATAACATTAATAGTCTGCATGTTTAGAATGGCTGGTGCCTAAGTAGTAAATGCAAATGAATGGCCAAGTATAACCCATCCAATACTGAGCACTCTGACTCCATTCAACACGCTCAAAGTTTTATCTCCTTCTTCCTTCACAGCAAACAACTTCTGGAGGTTGAAGATGGGGTTCCATGAATGGAGGGCAAGTGCCCATGTCGTCTTTCTCTCTTCGATTTTATTTGACCTGAAGTTCCCATTACTGCCAATATTTGTATATGTAATCAAAATTCCACAAAACCAAAGAAGCCCCACAAAGCCTGTGAAAATCAGAACTAGTATAGCTCCTGTTGACATTGATTCTGCAAGAGCCTCTTGAGGAACAGTCATGATTGTTTCAATTTCGAAAATATAAGGCAATATCGGTTAAGCTTTGTCCTTAATAAAGTCAATTGTGTCTTTAAAGCTTTCTTGATTGCTACATTCCCTTCAAGTTCGTAAACCCATTTTGATTACAGGAGCTCCCAGAGACTAAATTAAAATAGTCAGAAAGATATAGTCTAATTCTGGAGTGGCACAGGAAGAAAAATCTCAGAGTTAGTTCGATCCTTTAGCACTATTCAAAGCCATAATAGCGAGCTCTTTCAGCCCATCAGGATTGTGGATCTTCCTCATATGTTTCAAACAAGGAGTGTCATCATCTTTAACTATTTCTCAAAGTCTCACTACCTCATTCTGAGCCTTCACTGACATCAAAGGTATAAGCATGAATCATACAAATTTGTAAATTTCATAAATTTTGAATAAACCATTTGAACCTATACTTTTTATATCAAAATCTTGTGTTATATTCCTATTTATATCGATCATTCTAAACAGCTAAATATTGGGGTTTTGGGGTTTTGGGGTTTTGGGG